GATTATTGCATGACAACAAAATAAAATAAATTTTAACTGCTGTGCATGAAGTCATGTTTTTGTGTGTCTTGATTAAGGACAATGACGGCATGGACCAACACAACGTGGTCACCACAACCAGAGATGTTGGGATCCTGAGTAAAGACATGACAGGCTTGTGGTAAGGACATGCAAAGGACCAAGAAACAACTTATCTTATTTAATCTGCTTAACCAGAATAATTCTGTTCAGCATCTAAATGGTTTTTGATCTAATTTTAGGAAAGGGCTGAGCAGAGATGGCTTTTACAACAGCGTGATGAAGATGTTAGGTGCATGGGTGTAATTTTAATTAGATCAAAACTGGTTTTATTACAGATGTTTCGTTTTCTTTCAGAACCATTAGAATAATGTCAATATTTTAGGTGCAGTACCAGCAAACAGCCACAAGAGGGGGGCGACATTGGTCCAACAGACGGTTTACATTTACCTGTAACACCGTGGTTAAGACAACTGACTTCATCTGCCTGATTTCATGTTCCTGATATTTTCTAATTAAAGTTGATCTGTTTGGTCAGTCTTGTTGTCTCTACTTCCTGGATTCAGCGCCAGAAACGATTTTCCACTCCTTTTACGTAACGTAGAAGCAAGCCCTTGTTGCCATGGTGACCTGCCGCGTGCTACGCTAAATACCGCTCGCCCTCTACTGTTGTTGCTGCGTGTGCACAAAGTTCACGTGTTTACTTTCACGTGCTTCGTTGAGCTCGTATTTACAGGTAGGACTGACATTTCTAGTCTTTAGTGTTTAAAAGTGTTTCATTAGAACCTGCAGAAGCAGCTAAACGTTCTTTCTGTCCCAACTGGACCGGACCGGACCCTCTGGAGACAGAAACCCGACACAAGACGGCCACAGCGTTGACGCATGTCTGACAGCACTTGTAGCACCAGTAGAAGACGTATCGTAGTCCCAGCAGACGTAAAGTAGCACGCGCACCAGTACAATTGTAATCGTCTGCACGCACGGAAGCGCAGGTGGCGTGATGACGTCACAAAGCCTTTATGACCAACACGTCTGCAGCATGGACATATACATATAGGTCTGCAGTCAGTGGTCAGTCAGTGTCAGACTTGCTTTGAAGAAGGTGGTTGGACGGATTGTTGCTCTCAGAAAACTTGTTGGTTTCGTGTAAACAACATCTTTTAACAGCTTCCTTCAGAGAAATCTGGTGCATTTGGTGAATATTTATAGCTAAATTATTCACTGCTCGACAATCATGGAGTGCAAAAAGGTCTTTGTTCTCTCAAACAGCCAACCAGCTTTCCAGTCAGGGCTAAGGTCCTCTGAGCTACAGTCGCTTCACAAACGACGCAGATATGAACTTCTGGCTAGCTACAGAGGAACTAGCTTTGCAGAAACACAAAACCTGTGTCTGTCTGCATCAAAACCTGACAAGTCTCGTCAGATTCAGCCCTTTGAGGAACCAAGTGTCTTTTTCAAGACAGCCGCGTCTGTGGACACCAGTGGAGGTTTAACATCCATCTCCAGCAAAAACTCCTCTGTTTTACGGGCTAATCGACAAGACCAAAGATATAAAACGCTGGCAAGGTACCGAGGAATTTCCTTAGTGGAGAAAAGACAGACGTCCTCTGTCCAACTCCAGGATACTCCTCGCATTCAGCTGTTGGGGAGAAGAAAGCGTTCGAGTGACGGAGGTCACGAGAACTCTGATTTCCCCAGCGCTGCTAAAAGGCCGCGGCTGTCAGAAGGCACACCTCAGCAGAAACGTCCCACTATGATCCGCCTCAAAGGTCGTAGGAAAGGGACGGATTCAGGACCCAAAAGTGTCTCCGAACCCCCCAAAACTGCACCTACCATCAAGTCTGAGCAGCCTCGAACTCCAGTAATCTGGATTATTGGATCCAGTTACATCAGACGGGGTGAAGAGGCGGCTCAAAAGCAGTTTGGGACAAACTTTGGACTCAGAGCTAAGGTCCAATGGTTTGGCAAAGGAGGCATGCGCTGGGGCGGTGTCCTTCCCAGGTTTTACTCCGAGGCTCCCACACACGGTCCTCCAGACATTCTGGTCGTCCACGCCGGAGGAAACGATCTGGGTCTCGTTTCCCCGGTGGAACTAGCTTCTCAGATCCAAAAGGATTTGTCCCACCTCCATAAGGACTTTCCGGGAATGAGAATAGCCTTTTCCGCCATCAACGAACGGCAGTCGTGGCGATACGGGCGACCAGGAAGAATTAACAGCAACAGAAAACAGGTTAATTCTTTACTGAGGAGGGCCGTTAGGAGCTTTGGGGGCCTGGTCATCGAGCATCCTGAGCTCAGGTTCTTCAACAACGCCCTTTTTCTCCCAGACAGAGTGCATTTTAGTAAGAGAGGAAACAGCTTGTTTCTGGGCCGCATTTACTCTGTTCTGGAGAAGATTCTGGCTCAGAGGTGTAACACCTAAATCTGTTACGCCTTAAAAAGATAACAGCTGACAGAAAAGTGCAAATGGACACGCTTCTCATCCGGCACGTGTGTGAATCAACCGTTGGATTAGGACTCCTGAAGAGCCAACAACTGTCACGCTGAGCAGGAGGAGGTAGGACCCAAACACAGAAGCCCAGAATGACTCGAGGCAAGAGCGGTTGAAAGAAGGTCAAATCCTTTTATTAAGGTGGCAACGAAAATGACTTTGATGCAGGAATCAAATCCAGAAAACTGAAAGCCAAAAAAGCACAAAAGCTCAATAATGAGCACAAAGACTAGAACCTGACGAGGGAACAAAACAACGCTGACTCACAACGATGGACCGACAAACACTGAGAGACAAGACAGAACTTTTAAACACAGAGCGAGGTGATCAGAGGAACAGGTGACAGGTGTGAGTGATCTGGAGGGAAGGCAGGTGCATTCAGTAAACTAAATGTGGAAAGAACTAAGCAGGAGAACCTGGAGGAGAACAGGAGGAGGCCGGGGACAGAGGGACACAGAACATGACAACAACTGTCTTTTTAAAGACAAAACTAAACAAAATGCATGAAAAAGACGAACTTAAAGTTCAGAAAGCATCTGAATAAAAAACCAAACCAAAAAAAAAATTAAAAAAATAAACCAACTAACTCTGCCAGGGTTTCCCTTTTGGGTCACTTCTGCCGGTCCCAAGCCCGGATTAAAGAGGAGGGGTCGGATTATAACACAGAACTAAATCCGCAGTAGAGGGATTTTACTCTTAAGAATTAAAATGAAGGCAGGTTATGACATTTACAAATATATTTAGTAAACATTTATAATTTCTAATCAAACATGTCAAATATAAAACTGTTTATTATACAACACAGTACAAACCCACGTGTGTGTGTGTGTGTGTGTGTGTGTTTAAATATGGCAAGCAGTTTGTACATTTATCACACAGACTGTATATGTATTCTGTAAGTTAAAGGCACGGCCCGTAAGATTTAAATGTAGAATAACTTTAAAAATGTTTGATTTTGACCATCTGACCCAATTTTATAAAAAAATGTAAATAATCTTCAATATTTCAATTTTCTCCTAAGTCCCTCCCCTGCCCTGTATAGCTCAGCCAATATTTCTGCAAGCCTAACGCATTGACCAATAGCGCTGCGTTACCACCAGAGGTAGCTGTCAATCATCGAGCACGAGCAGGTCTCAGCGTGCACAACAGTGTCACGCGCCTCACTCGGCTTACTGCAGAAACATGGAGAAACAAAACCCCAAATTACCGATTCCTCGACTGCCTTCCACATCTCAAAAAACATTTAAAAAGTTTAAAAGCCCTTCTTCAAAAGTGGCTGTAAGACGTTTAAGACAGTCGAGTAGAATTTACATTGGAGATTGTTTTAAATGATGGAGAGATTTTCGTGATCTACGCGGCCTGAAAACGGATGAAGAGTTGGCAAAGTATCTTTTGGACAGGTAAATTATTTATTGTTTTTTGGATAAATTTACTTAAAATCTTTCTTTCACTGAAAGAAGTAATAGAGCAAACAAGCTTTGTATGCTTGGTGTCCTATTGGCTAATGTAGCATTAGCTTGAATGCTAAGTCGACATGAATCGATGCTAGTCGAACTATTTATGCTATATTTGGAAGAAGTTTGAGTAACGAAAGGAGATTTTAGTTTTTTTTATACAGGATCTAATGATTAGTGTGGCGTTTAACTATAGGCCATATCAGTGTATCGTTTTAAGCTCTTGTTTATAACTTCCCTGTTAGCGGGGTTCAGTTAGCATCTTGAACGCTGACTTAGATGTTTACACTTTCCTGAGCTGCGTGTTTGATTAAAATGAGTAATCAGCAGCTCATGTAGCACTTGTAGAAGTCTGAGGAGAAGATTCAGCAGTTAGAATTAGGTGTGATTGATGAGGAACATATCCAAAACCTTACGTTTCCATTAGCACTGGAAGACTTATTGTGCTAACCTGGGTGGGCCACGTGTACAGATTACCGTCTGATTTTGTGGTCTTACTTACGTGAAAACTCCATATTAAAATAAAAGGAATGATAATCAGCTCGTGCAGAAATCTGTGAAGGCTGGGGAGACTTGTTTTATTACAGTGGAACAAAGATATCTGTAACCATTTTTGGTTTTGCTGCAAGTCGGCGAACACTTATGATGAGTTTTTTGTAAGTACATTATTTGTGTTTTCATATAAAAAAAGTGAATGTAACTAATCGCCACATATGTCTTTTAGGACATGTGGATCGGTCTACTCCATCATGTGACTGGAGAACATGAGTGGTCTCTGGATGCTTGTCAGCATGATCCTTTACTAAGTGACAGAGAGAAAGACTGGATTCAGAAAGGCTCCACTCCACACAAAGCCCTCAGTGACATCATTCTCAGTGAACGCTGGCTGAAAGAAGTCCCAAAATATTTGAAATACAGGTACTGTATTTAATTATAGCTATAAATAATAATATACTTGTTCTAAATGTTAAATTCTTGTTTTAGATCTACAGCACATTTGGAGGCGTTTTACAACCATCTCCTAATGTATGCAAGCAAAAGATTCAGTTACATCCCACCTGTTTACGAGGCACGGATACTGCTTGCTGAATTGGACTACAATCACCACTCACATCGAGAAGTGAAGAGGAGAGCAGATGGATCGATACAGTATGTATTTATTTATTTATATTTGTAATAAAACATACACTCATGAATTCATAATTCACAGGTCCAGTTTTAGTCATTTTTTATTAACAACTTCCTCAGATGAACAACCACAACGCTCCTAACTGCTACATATTGGTTTAACAACATGCTGTCAAGTGGCCAACTGTAGAATAACAGAAACACCACATTTTCAATAATAGCGCCTCCAGGTGGGGCTTACCTAAATTACGTTTAATTTAAAACACTTTTTCAGCTAATTTGTTGTATACTATAAGTTAGAGCCCTGCACGGGCCTAAAATCTGAGCCCGTGTCCGGCCCGGCCCGAAAAGGTTTTCAGGATTCTCTGGCCTGACCCGAGCCCGACTTTTTTTTAACCAACTAAATGAAAACAAAGTGCGTCAATCCTGACCAATGTGTTAAAAGACGTGCAGGATCCGATCAATTTGTTTTTCCCTCATTTACCGTCACGGAGATGACGGCGCAATGGCTCTGGTGTTAATCAAGTTAAATTTTATCTCTTTGCAACAATTTTCACAAGAAAACAGAACAGTTAAAAGCAGGGCTTGTGTTGACCGGATAGTTCCCGTATTTGATCGTTTATTTTGATGGAGAAAGAATAGAAAGAATTACCCCGACGCATGCAGACGAACTGACATTTTATTCTACGCACATCGCAAATGTAGCTAAATCACGCAAGAAAAGATTCCCATCTGAACATCTGAGCTTCTCAGCGCAGCTCGCTCTCAGCAGATATGTGCATAGCGAGCTGAAGTTGTGGAGAGGGGCTTGGAGCGCGTCGCAGAACCAGAGTGCACTGAAGCAAGTGTTTTCCAAACCCTGTCAGAGAGACTTGTCACTTAGAAAATGTTCCCTGATGATGAAACTTTGGCTGAATAGCGCTTGTTCCTGTCTCCAATGTGGCGACACATCCAGGAGCCATCTGAGGAGAATCCCAGAATCTCACATCCTCTTCAGCTCAGACAGCGCCTATGATTACGCACAAGTGTGATGGCGGGGACTGAGCATGCGCTGACGGCCGATCACCGGATACACGGCAGCGTTTGAAGCTGATGGCAGCTCGTTAACAAACATCCACAATCAATTAAGACACATTTTCGCCTAATTTATTTACTGACAACGCAAAAAATAATCTGGTAAGTATAACTCACTCAATCTGGAGGTAAGTGAAGGAAATTTAGAAAGTTTGTTAAATTATATTGACGACGTTTTTGAGTTATTCATCATGGGTCCGAAGAAATCAGCAGCTGAGGCTGAAGCACCTGCTGGGACCAAGAGAAGCCGTCCTCAGGACTCGCCTGAGGCCTCATCTCCCCGGAAGGACATATTAGAATTATTAGATTCTACAGATAAACGGCTTCTGGGATTTGAGGGGCGACTCCATCTGCTCGAGGTTCTTCACCAGGAGTTTCAGAACCTCCGAACATCTCTGGAGTTCAGCCAGGATCAGGTTGAGCGGCTCGCTGCTGAGAACGCGTCTCTGCGGGAGTCCGTTTCTTCCCTGGAAGAGGGAATGACGCGGATCGCCCAGGACAACAAGATTCTGAAGGAGACGGTTTTGGACCTTCAGGCCCGCAGCATGAGGGATAATCTGGTGTTCGCAGGACTGCCGGAGCAGGCGGGTGGGGCGGAGAACTGCGAGCAAACAATAAAGAACTTTCTCCAGACAGAAATGAAGATACCCGAAGAAAAAGTTAAAAACATCACATTTCACCGGGTACATCGCCTTGGAGCTAAAAGAGGGGACAGCAGAAGACCTCGTCCCATCGTGGCTAAATTTGAACATTTTAAGCAGAAGGATCTTGTTAAAAGTCACGGAAGAGAGCTCAAAGGGAAAGATTTCAGCGTCAATGATCAGTTCCCGAAAGAAATTCTGGTTCGACGCCGGGTCCTCTTTCCACTGCGAAAAAAGTTTATCCAGGATGGGAAGAGAGCTGTCACCTCGGTGGATAAGCTTTATGTGGACAATAAGCTTTACAAGGAGCGAGGAGTGACAGACTGGCTGTATTAGCCCAACATCAGGTCAGACATTTATTATTCTTATCAGGATTCACTGGGTTTGATCACGTCAGGATTAAACAGCTGCTAAATCCGTATTCTAGATGATGAGATCACCTGTTCATCACCACTTCACACCCCTACCGCCTTTTCTTTTTAGTTCTTTCTTCTTTTTTAACCTGTATCTGTATTTTCCCTTCCTTTTTACCTGCTTATGTACCTTTACACCTGTACGGCACAACCACACAACTTTCCAACACTGCGTCAGATTCGACACACACACACACACACACACACACACACACACACACACACACACACACACACACACACACACACACACACACACACACACACACATAGATATATTAAATTCACAGCACAATAAATATCATAATTTATGCGTCAAATAATACAACCACAAACACTGTTGGATCTTTATTATTATTATTATTATTATTATTATTATTATTATTATTATTATTTACTTTTCGGTTATTTATTAACATACTATTTTTCATTTAGATACTTATTCCATCTTATTCACATGAAGGCGTCACATTTTAGCTACTCACACACACATCTATGGGTGCACTAAGATTTGTCTCATGGAATGTACATGGAGCTGGCTCCATAGAGAAAAGATTAAAGATTTTTGATCAGCTAAAGAGAGTGCAAGCAGACGTAATATTGTTACAAGAGACTCATAGATCTGCCACATCCACGGATGAACTTAAAACACCTGAGTTTCCCAGCATGTTCTCTGCCTGCTACAACTCTAGGCAAAGAGGTGTAGCTATTTTAATACACAAAAACATCAATTTCACAGTATTGGACACAGTTTTGATCCAGAGGGTAGATTTATAATGTTAAAAATATCTGTACAGAACCAAAGCTTATGTATTGTCAGCATATACTGTCCAAATATTGATGACCATCCATTCTTTCATAATTTTTTCTCTGTACTCTCCGAACACTTGGACTGTCCACTTATAACTGGAGGTGATTTTAATTTTTGGATGAATTCCTTAACAGACAGGCTCAGTACAGCTGGGACTCAGCGCAATTGGCAATCCACTAATATAGTTAAACAGTACATGAGTGATTATGGGCTTTGTGATGCATGGCGATCTCTTCATCCTAACCGTAGAGAGTATACTTTTTTTTCGCACGTCCATCACTCTCATTCACGTTTGGATTATTTTCTAGTCAGCAGCTCATTGTTGGCTGACATTTCAGACACTGAGATACACCCCATAGTTGTCAGCGACCATGCTCTGGTTTCATTAACTCTGGTAAATAAGAAGACAATCCCACCAAGCAGAAACTGGAGGATTAATACATCACTGCTTAAAGACGACAGTTTTATTGATTTTTTTAAAAAAGGAGTGGGCTTTATATTTAGAACATAATGACCTGCCTGGAACATCAGCACCTATTCTTTGGGAGGCAGGAAAGGCAGTGATGAGAGGTAAAATAATCTCTTTTTCATCACATAGGAAAAAAACAGAAAACAAACGTATTCAGGAGTTAGAGGAAATCAAGTCTTTAGAGGCATCCGCAGAAGAAGAGTTAATGAGCAAATTACGTAAAGCTAAATTAGAACTTCATGGAATTATTGACAAAAAGAAACAATTTTTAGCACAAAGACTACGAATAGAAAACTTTGAACATAGTAATAAATCAGGTAAATTTTTAGCTAGCCAATTAAAAATAAATAAAGAGAAAACTACCATATCTGCTGTTAAAGACTCAACCGGGAATATAGTTTATGACCCTGAAAGCATAAACAACACTTTCAGAGACTTTTACCAAACTTTGTACTCACCACAGATAAACCCATCAGATAATGAGATCAATGAGTTCCTTGACAGGATAATACTTCCTAAATTATCAGACAGCCAAGTTACAGTCCTGGACTCGCCACTAACATCAGCGGAGCTCCAGGAAGCCCTTAAATCCATGACTAATAGGAAAGCTCCAGGTCCAGACGGGTTCCCAGTAGAGTTCTACAAACAATTCTGGATCATTCTGGCTCCAACATTTTTCAGATTGGTGAGGGAAATCGAAGAGAGCGGCAGATTACAGCCAATGAATTCAGCCAATATTAGTCTCTTGTTAAAACCAGGCAAAGACCCAGCATTTCCAACCAGCTATCGCCCAATTTCCCTTATTAATGTTGATCTCAAAATAATTTGTAAAGCCCTGGCAAAAAGATTAGAGAAGGTAACCCCCTTCATAATACACCCTGACCAAACTGGTTTCATCAAGGGTAGACAGTCATCCACTAACTCACGTAGATTACTTAATTTGATAGATTTCTCTTACAGTAGAAACATAGAAACTAGTATACTATCTCTAGATGCAGAAAAAGCTTTTGATAGAGTTAACTGGAAGTTCTTATTTGCAACTTTACATAAATTTGGTTTTGGGAACTTCTTCATAAACTGGCTACAAACATCATACAGTTCACCAACTGCACGTGTCAGGACGAACGACCAAATATCAGCTAGCTTCTGTCTTCAGAGGGGGACCAGGCAGGGATGCCCACTCTCCCCCTCACTATTTGCTATCTTTATCGAACCACTAGCAGCAGCAATTAGGAAAACAACAGATATTAAAGGGAAAAATTGTAAGAAAATAGAACATAAGATCAGTCTTTATGCAGATGATGTTTTACTCTTTCTCCAGAATTCTCAATCCTCTCTCTCCCAAGCAATAGAACTGATAAACTCTTTTTCCAGAGTTTCAGATTACGCTATAAACTGGTTAAAATCCACAGTTCTACCAATTAATTTCTCATTTATCAATTTACTTAATACACAATTGGAGTCAGGGAATATCACATACCTGGGAATTAATGTCTCTCCCAAGTTAGCAGATCTAACCAAACAAAACTACATCCCACTTTTTTTTTTTTATTTATTTTTTTTTTATTGAATTTTAAAGTTTTACACAAGTAAAGGAAAAGGAAAAGAAGTAGATAAAAAAGGATAACTAATAACTAACAAAAGATAATAAGGTAAAAAAAAATAATAATAATAATAATAACAAAAACAAATAAATAATATATAAATACACATACCCGTACGTATACATACACATACGTATACTCACATACATACACATCTGCCTACATATCAATAAAGGCGCAGAACGTACAGGGCGTGTGTCTCGATAGCTTGGTGCCACTGTTCACAGACCGAGGACGGAGAAACTATAGGTAGGTAAATAGAAATAAAACTCATATACGCATGGAAACATGCCCATACGTCCATATACACACCTACAGATTCACCTACAGATTCACTTACATATAGGTGCCAGTATACATATACGCATATGCACAGAGTATACAGTACATGCAAAGGAACAGTAAAGACGGAGACAAAGCAGTCATGGTTTAAGTAAAAAAGAGCGAAAAGGCCCCCAAATCTTCGTAAATAGGTCATATTTATGGTGTAAGTCATGGGTCAGCTTTTCGAGAGGAAGGATGGCAGATATTTGAGCAACCCACAGGCTAAGCGTAGGGGGCTGGGATGATAACCAGAGCAAAAGAATACATTTCTTGGCTAGAAATCTAAGGATAACTAATAAGGATTTTTTATGTGCGGCTAGTAACTGGGGGTCAACATTAAGAAGGTAGAACAAGGGTGACATTGGAAAACGTACTCCCAGAATGTCCTGAATTGCTGAGTGGACCTGCCTCCAGAAAGCCTGAATAACATTACAAGACCAAAAAAGGTGAAAGAATGTTCCATTGGCAGACTTACATTTACTACAGAGGCTGGAGCGGGTGGGGAACATCCTCTGGAGGCGAACTGGTGTGTAATAGGTTCTATAGAAAAATCGGAGATTTTGTTCCTGTATGGCAATGGAGGTAGTTTTAGGGAAAGTTCCCATACAGACCTTGTGCCAATCCAAAGGGTTAATCTTCATCTCCAGATCACGCTCCCACACCCGCTTTACAGAATCGAAACTCGAAGATTCCAAACTAAGCAAAGAGGCGTAAAACTTAGAGAGGAGGCCCCTAGGGGATCTAGAAAGAGTAAAAGTATTTTCTATTTCAGTTAGTTGCAAACGAAATGAGGCAGACCGTAACAGGGATTCAATATAATGACGGATTTGAAGGTATTTGTAGAAGTCTGTGTGACCAATATTACCATTACAGTTAGCCCTAATCTGATCAAAAGGTTTAACAGAACTAGAGGACAACAGATCTGAGAAATCCCTCAGCCCCGAGGAGGACCAGCTCAAAAGGCCTATACTCCGAATGAGTGGCGGTAAATCTGGATTTAAGGCCAGAGGGGACCGGATTGAAATAAAAGGTGGAATTCTCAAATACTTCTTCACATCCCTCCAGGCCAATAATGTATTATAAACCAGTGTGTTATCTCTGAGAGAGCCTATCTGGTCGAACTTAGCAATGTAAGGAAGGGAGGTTAGTCTTCTAGGGAGACAGGCCAGAGTTTCCAACTCAACCCACAGGGATGACTCTCTGTTCGAGAACCAGTCCGATATAATTTTGAGTTGCGAGCACCAATAATAAAATTGTATATTAGGTAGGGAGAGGCCTCCTAGTTGCTTCGATTTAGTAAGCGTAGAAAATTTTATTCGTTGATGTTTATTGTTCCAAATAAAGCGTGAAATCTCTGAGTTGAGGGATTTAAAGAACGAGGGGGGTAAATAACAGGGGAGGTTCTGAAATAAATAATTAAGACGTGGGAGGACGTTCATTTTTATTGTGTTGACCCTACCCAACAATGATGTGGGAAGAGTGGACCATCTGGTTAAGTCAGATTTAATTCTCTGGATGAGAGGAGCGTAATTGGTTGAGAAAAGATCGTCCAGGACGGGTGTAATAAAGATTCCTAAATACCTGAATCCTTTCTCAGAGATTTGGAAAGTGGAATGGGGGACCTCGGCCTGAGGAATATTGAAAGGGCAAGCAATCGATTTATCCATATTGATTTTGTAGCCAGAGAGGGTGCCAAATTTAGCAATGGACCTACAGACCGCCGGAATCGAGATAGATGGATTAGTCAAATATAGGAGGACATCATCTGCAAACAATGAAATCACGTGGTTGGTGTCAGATACCCTAACGCCTAGTATATCTGGGTTGGTTCTGATTGTGACAGCAAGAGGTTCGATAAAGAGAGTAAACAATAGAGGGGACAGTGGGCAACCCTGTCTGCAGCCCCTTCTTATAGGAAAACTTTCTGACAATAATCCGTTTGTGTTAACAGTAGCTGTGGGATTAGAATAAAAAGATTTAATTAAATTGATAAAGTTAGGCCCCAGGCCGACTCTTTCTAACACCGAGAATAGAAATGGCCATTCTACCCGGTCGAAAGCTTTTTCGGCATCAAGGGAGATAATCACGGCAGGGTCTTTATGTTGGTTGAGATACTGAACAATGTTAAGGGCTCGGCGTACGTTGTCGGTCCCATACCTTGATTTGACGAAGCCTGCTTGGTCCGGGTGAATTAATTTTGGA